TCCGACTCCCGCGCCCCTCCGACTCCCGCGCCCCTCCGACTCCCGCGTCCCTCCGACTCCCGCGCCCCTCCGACTCCCGCGCCCCTCTGACTCCGTTTGCTGAATCCTCATTTCCGGATCTCTATTTATTTGTTTTGCTTAGGCTGAGATAGTTGTCTCGCTCTATAGCCCAGGCTGTACTAGAAACATACTGGCCTCGAACTCCCAGCAGTCATCTAGGCTCAGCATCCTGTGTGCTGGGATCACATGGTCACTATGCCTAGCTGAGATTCTTGACTAAACATCTGCAAAATCCTTATTCTGGACAGCAGGTGACATTCACAGGTTCCAGGACCTAGGATGTACATGCACACCCCAACAGTAGCCATTACTCTGTCTTAATTACTTTTCTATTGCTGTGACAAGATATCATGACCAAGGAAACATACCACAACAAGGAAAACATAAAAGAAAGTATTTAATTTGAAGCCCACAGTTCCAGAGGGCTAGGCAGGCAGGCATGGCACTGGAGCCATAGCTAAGGGCTCGCAACTCAACCCACAAGCATGAGACAGCACTAAGTGGGAGTGCTGTGGGCTTTTGAAACCTCGAAGTCTACCCCCAGAGACACACCTCCTCCAACAGGGCCACACCTCCTAATCCTTCCCAAACAGTTCCACCAACTGGGCCCAAGCATCTGAATATATGAACCTAGGAAAGCCGCTTTAATTCAAATAACTGCACTGTCTTCTAGGAGCCCTGCCTCCTTCAATCCTGTGGCATCTTGTGCCAAGCACCAGTTTCTGTGTCTGAATGAATCCCCTAACATTCTGTGCACACTCCAGACCTTTAGGGGTTGGGGCATAGAAATGAAAGCCATTCCTAGAAGTTGTGGCTATCCCTGGTCTTCAGTCCTGGCTAGGACTCCCACCCTAGGAACGCCCTTAGCTACAAACCAGAAGCTTCCTCTCTGTGCCTAGAAAGGCTCAGGGCAAAGAGGGAAAGGACACTAGGAACAATACCAGCTTTTAGCTGCCTGCTCCTTCACCTCCGATGTGGAGCTGGACCCTATTCTCCAGACAGTCTCTTTTTTCTTTAGCATGTCCCATAATGTCTCGCCTTTTCCACGACTCCCCAGATAATATCTTATCATTTAGAGCCTTCCTCTCCAGAAAACCAAGCCCCTCCCATCCCTTCCTACTCATCACACTGCATCTCATGTCTAATCTCTGCTTCCCCAGAGGGATCCCCACATCACTGCAGTCCTCAGCCATAGGCAGATGAGTCCAAGGGGGGAGCCCTTGTAATTGACTTATTCTGTGTCCCTGGGAAAAAGAGCCATGGCTGATGATGATTTGAGATGAAAGGGAATTAGCCCAGCCAGAGACCACCTGCTCTCGAGGAAGCCAACCCTGAGCTGCTAACTCTTGCATATGCAAGGGCCCTGACACCATTGATTGACACTTCAGAGTGTGGGGACCGTAATGTGCACACAGGCAAGTCCATGCAAGGACTGACAGGCTTAAACTTGCTGTAACCTCTCCAGACACCTGTGTCCTGTTTCCCCTCAGGGCCGGAGACCTGTCACCTTGATTGGATTCAGCCTGGGAGCCAGAGTCATCTACTTCTGTCTGCAGGAGATGGCCCAGGAGCAGGGTAAGCACGCGCATTGACAAATAAGACCCTTCTCAAGTTGGTCCCCAGGGCACTGGTTCTGGGCCTGGAGGCATGAGTTTTGCAGAGTACATTCCCAGTCCTTAAAAATAACAGTTCATGGTTTTAAATGGAAAGGCTAGTTCTGTATATACACTAGACTACATAAATGAAAGACTGTCCCATCATGATGACAGTGTCTCTGCACTCTGATGCATGTTCTTGAGTGTCAGACGGCACGGTGTCTGCAGGATCACACTGGCAAATGAAGCTGCCAGAGAAGGGCCCTCGCGTACCCCTTCCAGTGCCTTGACATTCCTCGGCAGTCTTGGCTGTGCTTAGTGGCCCTTGGCTCTTGTTAGCAGTTCGTTAAAGTTATTGGCATCCCTTGTCGGTTCTTGATGGTCCTTACCCCCCTCTTAATGATCTTTGGCAGTCCTTGGAGGTCCTCAGTGTCCCTTGGTGTCCTTAGGTGATCGTTGGCAGTCCTTAGCATCCCTTGTCATTCCTTAGAGGTGCTTGGTAGGCGTTGGTAACCCTTGATGGCATCCCTTAGCTGCATTTGGTCATCTTTGGTGGTTCGTGGCATCCCTTGGTGATCCTTGTAAGGTTTTTTTGTTCTGCTCTCTGCATCCATCTTCCATAGCACATCCTTTGTTCCTCTTCTTCCAAGAACAGGGAGGATTATTGGGCTTTAGGGCCCATTCTGACCCAGTACAATCACAAGATCTTCAATTAAACCTGCATAGATCCTTTTCCAAGAAAGTTATATTTACAAATTCTAGCTAAACAGATCTGAGATGTCACATTCAACCTACCATAGATACCTATGAGGTATGTGAGGCCCTGTGTCATTCTCTCTGTACTAAATCAGCTGAGGACCCGGGCCACTGGCAGGTGAGAACCTCAGGACACAACGCTTGCTCTGCTCGAATCCATCAGCAGAAGCTTTGGGGAGGAAGCTGTTTGAGGAGTGACCTGCAGAGCACTCTGGGTACGACACTCTTGCTAGGACACAGGCTGCTTCCTCACCCCCTGATGACACATATACCTGACAGACACTAAAGACAAGAGAGAGATCTTCTTGCAGAACTTCTGCACACACCGCAGGGTAGAAAGGCAGAGTAGCTGGAGTGGTGGCCGCTGTCCCCAGGTCCTCACCACTCTGAGCCTCGATTTCCCCAATTACAGAATTGAGGGCCCTACCCCATGTTCTGAGGAGCACGTGAGGTGGCATGAAAGGCCACCCTTCAAACCAGTCGGTGCAAGGATGTCATGGGAAGCCTCTACCTGTCAGTTATTGCTCACCCAAAACTACCCCTCGCCCTCGTCAACCCAAGCACATGACACAATCACTTCGCATCCAGCAAGAGCAAGGAAAGATGGGGTGTCCACTTTCAGCTAGATCTAAAAGGGTCAGGATCCATTTCAGCACTGGTATTACCAAGATCAGGAGTGTGGTTGGTCCAATCTTGTTCTTTTTACCAAAGCATGTCCCCACCAGCAGCCTGACAGTTGGGGCTATTTTTCTGGTGACAGACAATGTGGCTATACCACTCTTGGCACTGGCCACAGAAGGTCAACACCCGGGCCCCTCCTCCTACTCCACCCCCAGTCTCCTTTAGTTTGCAGCAGCCTTCCCTCCCCTGCTTGTGTCTAGTCAGTACGAGCAATGCGGGGGCACTATGGCCCTGTTTCAAGCAGCGCTAGTCTATCTGCCACCAGTATGCAAAAGGACCTGGCTGGCTGTGGACTATGCTCACCGGGAAAACCAAAGCTGAGGTCAAAGGTCAGACAAGACCCAGGAAGAAAGTAGAGATGAAAGTTAGATTAGCCGGGCTGTGGTGGCATACGCCTTAATCCCAGCACTTGGGAGGCAGAGGCAGGCGAATTTCTGAATTCGGGGCCAGCCTGGTCTATAGAGTGAGCTCCAGGACAGCCAGAACTATATAGAGAAACCCTGTCTCAAAAAAACAAAAACAAAAAAAAGAAAGAAAGAGAGAGAGAAAGAAAGAAAGAAAGAAAGAAAGAAAGAAAGAAAGAAAGAAAGAAAAGAAAGTTAGATTAAAGATGGAGGACACTGAACATCTCTTTCTGTACACATTCTTCCCCATCTTGGGTACCACAGACAGACAGACAGACAGGCAGGCAGGCAGACAGACAGACAAGGTCAATCTATCTGTCTCTGGTAACCCACCTAGGATGCTCTAGACAGCTGGATGAACCCCCAGAAAGCCAGCGTCTCCCTTTTCTCAGATCTTTGCCAACCTCCCCCCTCTCCTACCAGGGCATTTTTGAGTCCTAGCAATTTTGAAATGCTGAATTCTATATTGCGACTTTATATGCATGATCACTGCACTGCCTGTCTCTCTTAGGAAAAAGCAGGGGAGATCTATCAAGTGGTGAAGTTGTCTATATGAAAACATACAAGTTCTAAAGTAGCCAAAGGGGTGTACAAGTCAGCTATGGTTACAATGTCACTGTATAACAAAGCAGCCCTAGCCTCGGAGGGGTGCAGCACAAATGCACCCAGGAGCTAGTAGCTGGCTATGGTCTATTGGTCTGACATGGGCTCTACTCTGGCTGTAAAGTCAGTGGGCTTCGCTGTCAGCTGTTGGCTAGATTCAGATCATTTCTGTGTGTATTTGTCCTTGGAAGGTGGCAAAGACAGTGGCCACCTAGGATGTGCTCTGCTTCTGGTAGCTCCCTAGGGTGCCAACACCAGGCAAACAGGCAGATACACCTAAGACCCACTCCTCATGTATACCAGACCCCAGGATCCTGTCTGAGACTGCTGTAAAAACCATGTCTCCTAACATTGGAGCTTGAGATGGCCAAGCCTGACCACTTCCCATGATCCTCTGCAGGCCAATACACTCTCCATCCCCCTACCCCCTACCCCCGCTCTCACACACCTGGTCAGCTACAACCTGGTACAGCCCCCTGGCCTCACCTGTGCATCTGTCTGTCTGTTGATGCTGGCTGCCAGCCACCCAGGCTCCTCGCTGCTCTGAGGCTGCTCCTCAGAACACCGCCATCCTTTATACGGTTGTCATTTCCCCCACTCCACACTCACACCCTGCACCTGGCTCGTGACCTCGGACGATGTGGTCTTATCAGTAGGCGAGGTTTCCCATGGAGAGTGAAAGAAGGGCAGCCTCTGCCTCCAGATGGTATAAATTACGTGTTAGCTTCAGATCCATCTAGCACAGTGCCTCTCAACCTTCCTAACGCCGCCGCCCTTTAGTACGGTTCCTCGTGTGTGGAGACACCCTCCCAACATTATGTCATTGCTACTTCATAGCTGTAATGTTGCTCCTGTTATGAACTGTAACGTAAGTATCTGAGATCAGGATGCCTGATTTCAAACAGCTTACAGAGTTGTGACCCACAGGTTGAGAACCATTGAGCTAACGCGAGCCTGGCTTCGGCTTCAGTTCCCCTGCTGGGCATGGGAAGTTCAGCCATCATTTATTATGGTCCCTGGGAATGACATTGCCCAGAGACTCCCTGTGTTGAGGCTGGAAGCTGGAGAGAGAAAGAGGGAGAGGGAGAGGGAGGAAGGGAGGGAGGGAGGGAGGGAGGGAGGGAGGGAGGGAGGGAGGGAGAGAAAGGGAGAAGTGGGCCAGGGCACCATCCTTGGATGGCTTTGCACACAGCGTTTGGTAGTAATGGTGCCCAAAGCAACTTCCTTTGTCTTTTCTGCCTTTCCTGGCCTACCTGTAAGAATGCTAAACACACTCAGCTGTCACAGATGGGACTGTAGGCCACTTACCTAATCTCTCTGTGCCTCAGAGTCTTCAGCTAAATATAGGACTTTGTATATTTACCCCAAAGGATGATTAAGAGATTAAAATGAGATCACAATGCTGAAGTAGCTGGGTCTGACGAGTGTGCTCAGCAGAGACGGTGCGCTCTAACATGAGATTATAAGGGCACAGGAACGGAGGGGCGTATGGATACGGGAGGCCTGATTCTCTGTGTCCTTGAGCTTCAAAAAGTCCTAGTCCCCATGGGCAGAATCTGGCCTGTACCTGACTGTCACTCCACTGTCTGGAATGTTGGGGTGCTCAGCACAGGCTTGACTTGGGGTGAGGAGCCCAAGCAAGTTCACTTGCATGTGAGCTGGTGTGGACTCTCTCTCTGCTTCGCACATGAGAGACTGTGACAGAGACCGTCATCCACAGGACCTAGTGCAGGGCCAGTAGCCTCCCTCATAACGGCAGTGCTGGACAGAAAGGATGCAGACTGGGGACAATGGCAAGCATCATGCAGTGGGGGCTTGCAGAGAGGTCATCAGCATAGACAAAGGTGGGGTCCCAGAGTGCATCTGGAAGTGGCAGTGCCTGAGGCTTTCACAGCCCACAGAAGGAGCCTGAGGAGGAATGGAGGGAGATGCTGACAGGCTGGGAGGTGGGTGGGGCTGGGGCTGACTGGGTGGAACCCTGAAATCTCTGAATCATGAGTTGAGTCAATCCCACAGATGAATTGCGGGAGAGGTGGGCACTGGGCAGCCTGTAGTCTACCTGTGTATGCTTACTCCACACCTGTACACATACAGCAACTCCCCAGAGCCCAGGGGCCTCCGCTGTTCTCTGCATAAGGTGCAGACTTCTCCCAGTGACACCCGGGGCCCACAGGTGACCTCCTTTCCAGCATCCTCTCTACCACTTGCCGGCCCCTTAAACTGCAGCCACACTCAGCTGTTCCCAGACAACCTGCGTAGCCGCTCGGTGCTCTCCGGCTCTGCTTCTGACAACTCCCCAGAGTGTAGGCCTTGCTCCATCTGGAAGGTTCTCCTCTGATAGTACCAGCAATCACATTTGCATTAACTGTGTTTTCCTAGAAGTGCTAAGCTGTCGTCCATCCTGTGTAATCAGCAGCCCGCTCCCTGAGAGAGCTCTGATTAGCGTGCGGTCCACAGATGAGGACCCTGAGGCAAAGAGCCTGAGGAGCCAGATCCCAGGCCAGCAGGTGGCAGAGCAGGCAGCCTGCAGAGACCA